GTGTAAAGATATTCACTTTTTACAGTATCGATGTGCACATTTTTATAATAAAACTGTGATAGCCTAGTATGTCATATTTTTCCATTATATGGGTCATCCTGCAGTTTTTGTTTGCATTATCAAGCATTTAAACCCCATTGATTAACCACTGCACAAATTGTTCATAATCCTTTGTTCTCAAAATCTCAGCTGAGCTGAACTAACAGTCAGCTGAGCTAATGTGTCCGTTTTTGTTTCATTTTCAAAGTGAGAATTATCAGAATAAACTGTAATTAGTAAATAATCAGGAAACATTTAGAAATTATTTTCAGCTAGTTTTATTGCTTTTGTAAATGCTCATTCAGGTCCTGTAGATACTTGAGTATTGAGCCTGACACCGTGGGAATCATTTAACAATCTATGATGCACAAAAATTCCCCTTTAAGACACACATCCCCTTAAAGATTCCACTGTAGACATTTAGAAAGCACAGAGATTTGAGTCTGCTTTTCCTTGGAATATGTTGTAGCATGACAACCAATCTGTCATAACAGTTTAATTTGTGTGATTAACAGGTGTCTAGCTCTCAGTCCCCATGAGGAATATTCAAATGTTGGCACACTGGTGATGTGAACTTATCAAATGTAGTTTGGTTTCTGTGTATCACATTGGATGTTTCTTATAAACTAGATTGATTGCATATTCGTGTTAAACCTAGATTTGGTGTTATCCAGTGGTATTAAATGCTTAGCAACCTGTTTTATGTTCGTAATGTGACATTTCTGTGTGATGTAAAGAGAAAAATTGGTAAGTAAGCAAAGGTACTTACCAGGAATGGATAGTATTGTGAAAAGTGGTAATTTGAGAATGTGACCAAACTCTGTTTATTAAAATGATAGGTATTTGGCTATTGGTTAAGTGAAATCAGTCGACAAGGAATTTCATTTCAGTGGCACAACTTAAGAGGTTTTACATTTTGATTAAAGATTACTTCATCAACTGTGTTTAGAACGTAAATTGAAACTATTTTGACTAATAATGAGAAGCTTCAAAGTAGCTTCTCCAAAAACAGATCTGACATTGATAATAATCCTGAGATCTCAATGCTGGAGTAAAAAAAATGTCACCAGACCAGAATCTCTCGGTTTCATTTCCATTACTTTGCATGTGCACATATAAAACAGGCTGTTAGTCTGTGCAGTCATGCACTACAGCTATTGGAGATATTAAAGTGTCAACCTTTTCAACTTGTTTGTCTTTATCAATTTGCACTTTTTACTCTGTCACATGCCTAAAAGAAAAAAAAAACAGTAGTCGTTATTCTTTGTGCATATTCACTATGACATATCAGTTTCCCATCAGCCAGGAGTAAGTAATAGATATTATATTGAATGTATGGTGTAAATGCATGGGTTTCAGATCCTTATGATGAATCTGGATGTAGGCCAGCTTGTCGCTCGTTATCAGTGTGGAATTAGACCCTTAGTGCTGCCTTTATCTCCACAGTGTTTGCTCAGAATTCACAATCATCAGCGCCCCCATCCATCTCTGGTTTAACCCATAAACTCCTGGTGTCATGCAAGATATCATCCTTTAAAATATCTTCTTTTGTGTTCACTATAAAAAAAGAAACTCATTCAGGTTTGAAATAGTTTGAGGGTGAGTAAATGACAGTTTTAATTTTGGGGAAAACTATCCAGGTTGCTTACATACTTACTTTGGTATTTGCATTATCTTGTATTGGTAACAAGCCTTCACAAGTTTTCATGGTTGCGGTTGCCAGATGTTAAGAGTTTAAATCCCCCAATCAACGCTTTTTTTCTTAAATCGGTACATCTTCTGTCCAGTGGTTTACACTCTCTCTGCATTACGAAAAAAGTGCTTATGAACTGAAACACCGGCAAACATGTAAGTTGTAGTTTAGTGGTCTCTGAGTTATTCTGCTCAAATAAAAGTGCAATACAGCCAGTCTGTTCTCTTTCATGCAGTCGTTTGCGCTGTTGCAGAATTATGATTCTTTAATTATGAATTAAGAATTATGTTGCAGAATTTTGTTCATATTTCTAAAAAAACAAAATAAAGATATTTTTAATGAAAGATTTCAGACCCTTCATTATAAGTTAATTTAAAAAAAAACTCACTTTAAAAATTCATAAATACACATAACACACAATATATAAAAACAAACCTTACTGGTTCTGAAAGCTCAAACATGCTTATGTTATGGGCCAGAAAATCCTTATTGTTTCTCCTGTGTCAACATTCAGAACAAGATATCACAGTAACTTTTTATCGGACATTGATGAAGAGGGATGGTTTTCTGCAGGGGAATAGGATCTTGCATGACACTAAGAATGTCATTGTCTGCAACACAATGTTCTCAGTGTTGAAAAGTTTTATATGCTGCTTTACAGCCACAGGCACAAGAAAAAAACATGGATTGATTTCAGATGTCTTGAGAAACAATGGTCAAAAGTGCGAAGGACATTCTCATAGTAGAGACCATTTGACTAAACAAGTTTAACATAATATCTTTTATAAAACTATAAACTGGAAATAGAGTAAATGATAATTCAGGCAAGTGTCAAATTTAGCATCCAACCAGCACAGCGGGCATCATAACGTGACATCTCCCAATATAGTCAGCGAAGTGTAGACACTGTGTCATGATGATTGTAGATTAAAGGTTTACAAATGCAGTGAATCGGCTAAGGTGTGGTCATGACTGATGACAAATAATGAAATGCAAATGTGAGAAGGAAAGTGATAATTTCCTTATTGGACAAGATCACACTGCTTTTGTCAGAAAATGGTCATTCATAGGCTGTGTGTTTCTTGTGTCATGTCTTGTGAATAAAAGTGTGAAGACTATTTCTGGTATTTCTGAATTACACTTCAGTTGCAAAAACTGCGTTGGAGGTGGTAAGTTTGTTTGATTTTCATGAATCAGTTCAAACTGTTTTCAGTCTGTCATTCTATTAATTCATAATTCTGATTCAACGATTCACTTTTGCATCATCACTCAAAAATGTTCACTGTGTGTGCCATTTTTCATGTATTAAAGTTTTAGTGATGAGGTAAATGGACTTTTTTCACATTTCCGTGTTTCTCAGCAGCAGAAGTCATCATAGTTGGGTAAACTTCTAAAGCAGTGAATGGGACACTACCACACTGTAATGTGCTTTATGCACTCATGTATTTCTGCCTTGTGTATGTGTCATGTTCTGATTGGTTGTCTTAGTCATGTGTCTTGTTTCCCATTGGTTTGTTCTTGTCATGTGACCCTCTTGTTTGCTATAAGTAGCCATCATGTTGCCATTGTCTCTCGTCGTGTATTGATGTTGTAATCCGCTGTCGGTGCGTCAAGTCTGTTCATGTCAAGTCAAGTCACGGATTATTGTTTGGATGTTTGGATCCCACTGTAAATAAACTGCACTTGGGTTCTCACTTACGCTCGCCTTCAGTGGACTAATTCGTTACACGCATATATTTTTTTGCATTCCCATTTGCTCAAATAGCAAAAGAAAAACTCCATGATAGTGTTTTCATGACTTTGAAAAAAGGAAAAAAATAGAGACCGATAACGGCAGTCAGTAAGAGAGAACAATGTCAAATTTACCATCACTCCCATAGACGCTGTTTTAGAAACACCCTCGCATTAGAGTATAGTGTTAGAAATGTACATACATTTAAAAAAAATTTAAATGCAACAAATTTTGGAGAATTTACAATGCTGATGATGTTGAAACGAATCATCACAGTTTTGTGAAAAGGGTCCATATTGAACCTGATCAGTCCAGTTTGATTTAGGAGTAAATTGTTCAATTGATTGAACGGAATCAAAGATCCATTTAAAAGGTTTGACTAAAATAACAATCTCATCTTTACTTCTATCATTAACTCATTGATGGATTTCAGAGTATGCAGAGAATAAAGACTACTTCAATTATTTTCTCATGCAAAGCTGTTGTGTGGCTTCAGAAGACATTTTGATGCACCTAACTAACAATTCTGGGCTGAAAATGAAAATCCTTGTTATTTAATAATCAATTAATTAATCATATATATATTTAATAAACAACACTGAGTTGTACAAACATTTAAATTGCACTTACAGCTTTTTATGTCAACTTTTAAATGAGGATTATGTTTCTACTCAGATTTGTTATTGAAATATAAACGTTTAAAAGATTTATTCAAACATGCATTAAGACAACAGGTTAAGTTTTAAATATTAAAAAATATATACCAAGTTTATGGACAATGAATGGCTTTCCTGAGGTAAATGTGATGTTATATGCCATATGTTGTTTACAAGCTGTTTGATTGAGCGATTAAATGACATAATACATTTCAGTAAGTTGTTCTGTTTCTTTCAACACCTTTTGATATTCATTCATGTTTATTTCTTGCTATAACTAGTAGTAAAGTGGAAGAGATGATCGGTTCATGTGTCGCTTGAACTGAGGCTATTACAGTGATCTGTCAAACCACATTAAAGAGCGTCAAAACCACATTTATTGTTTGTAGTTTGTGATAAAATTGACAGAATTTGAAGGCTGAGACTTTGTTTCATTTTAAAAGTAACAAAGCACAAAGCTTATTGCGATTATTGGATGGCAGGTGCTACAAAAAATATAGTGAAGTTCACACATCAGCCGAAAACATCACAGACTAAAAGATTGATCCTTGAGATTTAAGAATCCATATCAGTTTCGATTAAAAATGAGAAATCAATATTGTTAATCCAGCACTAGTGTCCACAAAACTGACATGCTTACCTGTTGTAGTTTATCCACGTTGTGTGCACAATAGCTGCTGACAGTCAAAACATGCCATAGGAGAAATGCTAATTAACTGTTGCTGTTTTGGTCACTGATTTTGCCTTCCAAAACAATTTCAGTAGAAACTGAAAATTGCTATTTCGGCCCAAAACTTTTTGGTTGCTGAAATTTTGGTGCAGCGCCAATTTTTATATATCAAATATTTTAAATTAACGTTTTATAATTTTTCTTTCACAGGTAGGCCCCTGTGTGTGGGGGTCATCTTCCCCTTAGCTGTCTGCTGGTGTCCGTCAAGTAGAAGACCAACACGTCCTGTTTCCTGAAGCCCTGCCTTCTGGATCAGGTTTATATAAAGGGGTTCGGTCTGTTTTCGGCTGTTGAGGGAAGTGAAGGGGCCAGAATCCTAGCGTGTCCTGTTTCCCAGGCAATGAAGCTGCAGGCGGTGATGGAGAACCTGCACAGACAGCAGAGAGCCAAACTGCTGATGGAGCAGGCGGGGCAATCGCATAGCCCCGCCCCTGTAGGGGAGGAGCTGAAAGCAATCTCTGTCTCTGAAACAGAGCAGGCGCAGATGGCGGCGCTAGCAGCAATGCGTGCAGTAGCAGCTGGACTTCAGAGGGCCGACAGCCCCATGTCTGAGCACAGCAGTGGAGGAGGCGAAGTTGATGAGGAGGAGGATGAAGAGGAAGGGGAGGAGCAATACAAAGATATGATGGGGTCTGAGGAGGAAGAGCAGATGTAAGTAGGCAAATGAATGCAAATAAGTTATTGGCTGCTACTTGAGTTGGATGTTTTACATTTAAACGGCATTATGTTGTGCTGAATTTGTGACATTTGTGCATATACATGTGTTAAAGGGTAGTTCATTACAATATATAAATATAAATATATATACAATATATAAATCATATACCGGTCAGAAGTTTGGAATAAAGTTTTTTTTTTTTATGTTGTTGAAGGAAGTCACTTATGATCACCAAAGCTGAATTTATTTGATACAAAATAGAGTAAAAACTGTAATATTGTGAAATATTTTTACAGTATAATAAAATGAAACTGTTTTCTATTTGAATATATTCTAAAATGTAATTAATTCCTGTGATGCAAAGCTGAATTTTCAGCATCATTACTCCAGTCTTCAGTGTCACATGATCCTTCAGAAATCATTCTAATATGCTGATTTGCTGCTCAATGTTGAATATTTTTGTGGAAACTATGATACATTACCATTTAAAAGTTTGGAGTAAGTAAAGAAAGAAAAGGAATTAATAATTTTATTCAGAAAGGATGCATTAAATGGATCAAAAGTGACGGTAAAGACATTTATAAAGTTACAGAAGATTTGTATTTCAAATGCTGCTTTTCTATCTATTACCTTTTCTATTCATCAGAGGATCCTGAAAACAAAATTGTATCATGACTTTCACAAAACTGGTAAGCAGCAAAAACTGTTTAAACCTTTGGTTATAAAAATAACATTTATTAAAGTCTCTTTATTTGTGGTACCCGATTATCAAAAATAAGTGAATACAAAATCAACATATTGAATGATCATGTGACACAGAAGACTGGAATTATGGCAGCTAAAAATTCCGTTTTAAACCACAGAAATAAATTGCATTTCAAAATATATTACAATAGAAATCAGTTCTTGTAAATTGTAATAATATTTCACAATATTAGTGTTTTTAGTGTATTTTTATTTAAATAAATGCAGCCTTGGTGAGCATAAGAGACTTCTTTCAAAAACATTACAGAATCATAATTATTCCACTTTTAACCAGTAGTGTATGCCATGATGAGGAAATAAAACAAAAAATGAAAAAACAATCAAATTCAGAAATGCCAGAAAGTTTTGCTATAAATATGGCTAAAAGAAATGTGCTGAAAAGAAATTGGACAAGCATCTCTCACGTCTTCAGAAAATGTACAAGTCTACTGTGTACCTACTATATATTTAATATGTAGCTTTCTGTAAATAATTTTCTCATTTTAACAGAATTCGTGGCATGGTAGTTGGATGGCAGTTAACCCATAGCAATGTTTCATTAACTTGAATGAGTTGCCTGAATTCATAATCGTCCCTCTGTAACATTTCATCTCCTGTGTTCCTGCGAAGAAAGCAGAAATGGGATGAAGATGACTTTGAGGGTGAGATGGAAGAAGACTATGATGACGATTTAGGTGACGAAGTGCTACCGTCAGGCCGTGAGGCCGTCACCCCAGGCAGAGGCATCCTCCTCTTACCCCACCGCCATTTACACCCTCACTCCCAGCTGCTTAAGGCTCGGCCTGGTTCTGAAAGTGAACCGCGGACATTGACTCACTCCACACATTCATCCCACGGGCCGCTCCATGGACAGGACCACGCAGACTGGACCTATGAGGAGCAGTTCAAACAGGTCAGAAATTAACTTATACACTAAAGGGCAATATTTTCCCTCTGGAATTGTCTTCCTGGGGCATTTTTTTAAACCTTTGTAAGAGCAGTTTGTTTACACTTTATTTTAAGGTGTCATTGTTACAGTGTAATTATCCATTTAAGTACTGAGTAATATTAATTAACTACATGTACTTACTATATGGTTAGGATTAGGGTTTGGCTTAGGGTAACTTGCATATAATTAAGCATAATTAATTGTTATTATAATAGTAAGTACATAAAACGTGTAACAAGGACACCTTAAAATAAAGTGTTACCGGCTATTTTTATAAATGGAATGGAAGTCAGTGGCTACTAGCAACTGTTTGATTATGAACATTTTTCAAAATATCTTCTTTTGTGTTCAACAGAAGAAAGAAATGTATACAGGTTTGGAACAACTTGAGGGTTAGAAAATAAGGACAATATTTTCATATCTGGGTGAACTATCCCTTTAAATTTAACCAGTTACTGCAATTAATCACAATACTATAGACTGTTAACACTCAAATTTTTTCCAACATCAGCAAAAGCCATCTTTACAATGCAAAGGTGGAACAGAAGCTGCATCTGACATGTTGCTTATGTTTATTTACACATGCTCCTCGTGTACTTGAATTTACACTAAAATTGCATGATGTAAATCCTACAAATTAAAAAAACAGGAGCTCATTAGAGGGTGAAGCTGCAGCATCATGACAAAATCATTATTGCTATTGATATTGTAATAATTACAATATCAATAATTAGTAGAAAGTTTTTTTTCTGGCTACAGGCAAAAGTTAAAAACAGTTTATGAATGTGAATTTATTTCTTTTTACAGATTAGAAAATCAAGACAAAAACAAAACTGTTATTCAAACTAGGAATAAATTATATAAAGAAAGCCAGCAAGAAAGCCGCGGTCCATGATTTCAGTGTTGATTTGCACTATTGCAAAAACTCATGTTATAATCACTGAAGCTGTCTAAACTGCAAAATGATTCTTACTTACACATTTTCTGGATTTGTCATCTATGATGATTAGAGAATTCATGAACGCAGATTCAGAATTCCGTCAGTGAGTCAACTCCAGCGTTCTCCGTGGTGATGAATCAGAACACTGCTGATTGGCCATTGCATTCACAAGCTCAACAGAAATGTGTGTGATTGGTTATAATGCTCAGTGCTCCCAACTGTACATAAAAAGAAATCCGATGTAACATGAGCAATTCTACTCTAAATGTAATGCCTCAATGACACTTTTCATTCATATAGATCTTTTCATTCTTTTTTTATTCCTTTTTTTGTCCATTATCTTGAATTTGGGAGGCACTTTTGTTAACTTTGGTGTCGATTTGGTTTTAACTTTGGTTTTTGCCCCAAGCCCTCATTCATTTCAGACCCTGGTGGGCAGGGTAATTCTAACCTGAAACAGGTCCTGCTACAATGATGTTAGTCAAAAAAAAATAATACAGACCAAATAAACACTCCTTGCACACTTGGATGGTTGCAGGTGTGTAGGATAAATGTTGTGTAAAGAACAGAGTTTGTTGTATTCACTAGTCCTAGTGCAAATATTTATCTGGAATTGCAGCATATAATTGTAACGACATTCTTTGATATAGCAGCGTTACAGTCTAATGATCTTCTTCCAGGATTATGCCTGAAGAAGGTTGTTGAAGCAAAACAGTCTTTCAAATAAATATTTGCAAGCAACGACAGCGAGCAGGACTTGAGGAAATTTATCTACTTAACTTGACTAATTTATCTGGGGCTGAAGCTGTAATGTTTTATGCTGAGTGTGACATTTTGTGAAGTGAGTTATGAAAGCAGAACTCCTAAACTAAGCAATATACAGTCAGAGGGATTGAGTACATCTGACCGTCACTGCTCAAAAGCACACTACATTTAAATACTCAAATTGTAGTTTTCAATTATGTTGGTGCACAACTAATCACAAGCTAGATGCGTAAATTCCAGCATCGTTTTCTTACCAGACTGTAGCTACGATCCTGAAATTGTGAATGAAGTAATTTTATTACTTCATGCATTTATGTTTGTTCTTGCTGTTTGTTAAACCTGAACCGTATATCAAACAGTGACATTCCCAACACATATGGTCTGGCACACAGCTATATATTAGCTGTAGTTGTTTAGCTCGTATGTGCAGGCTGAGGCTTGTTAGGATGCCATGTGACCGAAAATTAATGAAGGTTTAAGACATAATTACTGATTATCTCAGAACATGAAGCCAAATGCCGGATCATGCAGAATATGCATATTTGTTGATTTCTCAAAATGAACTTTGAATATTGAAGGTCTCTCCTTCCTACATACAGAAAGAATTCGGTTGCCCTGCTATTTGAGACAATGAAGAGTCTTCGTCTGGAGCAGAGGTCATGACAATAACACCTGTCAATCAGCTACGTTATGCACTGCCAACCAAATAAAAAAACACACTTAAAACAATTTAATGTTTTTCCCCCACTGCATTAACGAGATCAAATTAAAATAATAAGATAACAAAGAAACACATTACAGGTAGCAGAGCATTTGGCAGCTCTATTGCATTTACACTGCAAGACTTAATGCACGGGTCTATTTTGACACATCAGATTTTTTTTGTCATCAGCAGGTACCGAATCGACCTGGTACTCTGTACTACCGGTACTGGAGAAAGGCTGGTATTGTTATGTTTTTAAAATTGAAGTATCAGGTACACGTACTTTTGAAAACACTAGTCAGTAAGATCATTTGTGGCTGATTTATGGAACTGAAAGGCAACATGCAGTAGCACTATTGTGATTATGTTCCATGCCGTTGTAATACTGCTTTCCCATAATGACTGTTTCATGTGCTCCAGAAGTGCTGTGACATCTGTACCCTTGCTGGGGAATTTTTTAACCCAAGATTTCCGATTAGGGAGCATTGCAGGTTATTATTTTTTGAATAATCATGTTGGATTTGAACATTTTGTACCCTGCTTTTGAGAACACGGTCATGTGATTTGCGTATGCTGGGCATGTGATGTGCTGACTGAAGCGTTTGCAGGTGTTTACAACTGTTGGTTGGCGGCCGACAGAAATGTTATTGGAGCATTAGCATTCAGTTCCAAGTATGATCTTCATATCAAGTCGTTGCCAGAAAACGTGAATATTGTGGGCAGTTATGCAATCAAGACATGCAGAGCTGTCTGTACGTTGAGATGTTGCACGATGATTGCGTGGTACTTGAATGGTTGTATAATGAATACTTTACACCCCTGCTTGCGTTCTGAATATGAGAATTTGAAACTGGATGATACACCCAGTTGCAACAACACACTAATGATTTTAGACATATTTACTTGTTGCCTCATAACACTAGTTTGTTTGCTGTAGTTTGTGCTTCCATACATGTGGAAAGGGATAAGGCTCCTGGTTTATTTTGGGCAGGTGTAATGGAGTAACACCAAAAGTATTACTCCAAAAGTAATGGAGATCAGTTGGAAGTTGTATTTTCACTTTGAACTTTGAAGTGTTGCTAATACACATTGTGTTCCTTAAATTTTCTTTACATAGTCTTAAAAAGGTCTTCAAATATTTAACTTCATAAAACCTGCAGAAACCTTCTAACTACAAGTCAACCTGTCTGCCAGCGTTACGCAGAGCATGTGAAAGGCTGACAGCTGGTCTTTTTCCTGCAGCAGCTGGGACATGGCCAAAATAAATGCAAAGCCACTGTGTCTCTGATTATGTTTGATACAGATATTAATTAATCGTGTTTTAAGGCATGCTGCCAAATTCTCTAGCATAGCTATCTGTTCCTGCCATAAAGTGAATTGAATAAAGAAACAGATTTATTCACTGGTATCAAAAATGGCAATGTCGTAATCATTCACACAATGAGATGGCTTAGTACTATTGTCTGCTGCCGGCCAAGTTTGTGGTTTTAATTCATTGGAATTGATGTGATTTGTCTTTTTTCTATTCTATGTTGTTAAATTCATCCTCTTGTAAGTAAGATACAAGAAAAGTCCGTTGTGGCAGATTTTTGTTCCTATGCAAATTGTCCTTTCGGTGCTGCCAGGTGGTTTCTGTTCCATCAACATCTCCAAGAGACGTTTGTTTAACTAAATCATCCTCTGATCAGAATTTTATAGACCTCATATAGGAGTTTGCATTTATATGTTCCTGCAATGTCTGGGTGGTTTTATGCAACTTCCCCTTTCTGATAACAACTAACAGTTGTGTTTTGTAGCCTTTTCAGAATTCAGCCATTTGTATTTCTTTTTTTCTTTCTTTCTTTCTATCTATCTATCTATCTGTCTATCTGTCTATCTGTCTATCTGTCTATCTGTCTGTCTGTCTGTCTGTCTGTCTGTCTTATATACAAGCATCAAAACAATGAAAGATAAACAAGCATCAAAACAATGAAAGATAAACAAGCATCAAAACAATGAAAGATAAACAAGCATCAAAACAATGAAAGATAAACAAGCATCAAAACAATGAAAGATAAACAAGCATCAAAACAATGAAAGATAAACAAGCATCAAAACAATGAAAGATAAACAAGCATCAAAACAATGAAAGATAAACAAGCATCAAAACAATGAAAGATAAACAAGCATCAAAATAATGAAAGATAAACAAGCATCAAAATAATGAAAGATATACAAGCATCAAAATAGTGAAAGATATACAAGCATCAAAACAATAAAAGATTAATACAGCTTTAAATAGTTTTTTTTCTGTACATTAATGTTGTTTTAATTTTTTTTCTAAGCAAAAAAAATATATATTTGTGTGTGTGTGTGTCTGTGTGTGTGTGTATACAATAAACAACATTATTAAAATATAGAAAAATAAAAGGACACATTAATGTACAGAAAAAAAATACATTTAAAGCTGTATTTATTTATTTATTTCATATAAAAGAAGCAGTTCTGAAGCTACTTTCTGAGCGGATTACACATTTATTTGAAGCAGTTATTCATTTGAATGCCTTTGACCACGCA